AGTCCCAACCCCATGCCCCTCACTCCTGACCTGCTGCCCCCCACCCTCAGGTCTCAGACCCCAATGTATGGGGCAGGGGTGTAATGGCAGAGTAGGGGGCGCTACTACGCAGAGCCACCTGCCTCACTGCGCCAGGCCCAAAACCTCACTTTGGAAGCCTCCCTTGGGGAGCCTGGAGCCGGCTGTTCTGCTTCCTGAAGAACACCCGCAAGCCTGTGGTAACGCTGCCACCACCCGGGCACTAGTCTCTGGCAGGGCTCTGTGCAGTCCAGGGCAAACAGACCCTGCCAACCTTGGGGGTGCTTTGCCCGTAGTAATATTTCTGGGCGTTTCTTTCAGCCTGAAGCATCCCTAGATAGCATCAGGAAAAACCTAAGAATAGAAAGAAAAAATCTTCGCTTGCCAGGCAAGGAGCAGAAGGCCTTCCCCCTCAGCAGCCCAACACAGCAGGTTGTAACCCAACACCTTATATTGAACCGGAGCGGGGGGAAGGAGGGGGGGGGAAGTAGAATGAGGATGTCAGTACACTTTGAGCAAACAAAAGCAACAGGAGTCATTACAGATACTGGATATGGTGACCCTTTTAAGATGCAACTGGCCTAAACATAATTCCTCTCCTGGCTAGTTTCCAGATTCCTACTTACAGAAATCACCAAGCAGCAGCCTGGTGTGCTTGCTTGAAGTTTTTCAAAGTGCCTATCAGAAGGAAAAGAGCAGCCAGTCCCAGCTAGGGTTTGCTAACTTTATACTACATGGCTTCAGGCCCATGCCATTAGCCTGAGCAAAATAGCCCACCACAGGCCCCTCCTTCAGCCACTCGTAATATTCCATGTAGCCACAGCTATGGCCAGCTGCAAAAATTATCTGGCAGCCAATAATTTTTTTTTTTTTTTTTTTTGCCATACATACTCCTGTCATTGGCAAGGCACCAGGGGGCTGGGGAACAGCTCCTCAGCCAACCCTACTGAGCCCAGATTGGCAAGCTACCCCTTGCGTCAGCATCCCAGCATGAACCACAAGGAGACACTGGGCTCAAACATGCTGTGGCCTTTAACTGGATCTCTTAGGGGTACTCCCCTTAAGAGTCATAGAAGAGTCTGAACTACTCCCCTCATTTACCCGTGCTGCACTGGTTGTTTTCTCCTGATCTGACCTCAAAAGTGGGCACCCTAGTACCTATGTCCAGACCAGACTGAATTGACTTGATCTCAGAAGCTAAGTAGTCCTGGACCTAGTTAATACTTGGATGGGAGACCACCTGGGAATTCTGGGTGGCATAGGCAGCCTAAGCCTTTTGCTTGGATGTGCAGAGGAGGGCATTGCTTTCTTATTTTAATTCATTTTACTTTACTTCACTGTTCATATTCTCCTCCTAACCAGATACAGCTAGCAGGGCTGGGGAGGAGTGCAAGACAGCATGGGAGAAGGATCAGACCCATCGGGGTCAGGCGCTGCCTGGCCTGCCAGCAACTCAGCCCCCAGGGGTGAGACAGGAGGGCTCTGAAGAAGAAAAAAAAAAAAAGGACTGGGGGAGAAGGGGCAGTGGTGTGAATGCAAATGTGGGGGAAGGGGAAGAAATGATCCTTAGATTAAGTTAAACCCAACTAAACTTCTAGAAAGATTTGATTGTGCAGAATAAAATTTACTAGGATACGAGCAACAGAGACACAAAGCTTGGCTCTAAAGCCAGCCACAGGACTGGCAGAGTGGCATTATGGAATGGGGAAGAGGAGAGATCTAGTGAGAAGCTAGGTAGCAGCAGAAGCAGCAGCCTATGCAAGAAATGGAAAAAGAATAGGAGGCAAACCGTTAAGAAAAGCCCCTCAATAAGCAGCTTCTGGTGGGGACCAGACACTAGGAGTAGAGGTAGGCTAAAAGTGCTAAACACAGCTCAAGAACTGTAGGATATCTACAACATATATCATTTTGATTTATTCAGATGTCAACTGCAACTGCATAAATTATCAAACAAAGAAATGTGGGGGAGAGATAATTCATCGTTTCAGGTGTGCAACAACATTATTTAAATCCTCCCTAAAGCACTGTTTAAATTTGATCTGGTAAACACTAAGTAACCTATACTGAAAATAGATCCATGGGAGGAAGCTTTAAAAACATCTTATTAAAAAGTTAAGGCTGCTAGATTAATTTTAACCTCTGTCTATTCTCAGCCTTATTTTCATAAGTACTTCATAAAAATTGTAACAGCAAGTTCAAATGTATAGTTAATTGCTCCTTTATTCAACAGGGGAACACAAATGCTTTTAATGAAGTCTGATCACCAGTTGTTAATTTAATACAATTAAAGATAGGTAGAAACACATGAGCTGGAAATGACTAATTCAAAGAGTTAACAATAAATCCTCTCTAGTTTCTCATCATGACAAAGGTTCAAAGTTTTGCTTTAGCTCTGCAAAACCAACGAAAAAAGAAAAAATCCTGAGTTCTTTAGTTATGCAGTACAAGGCATATAGAGCTCTTCAGTATACAAGGTGTGTAGTAAGACCATCAAATATTGGCTAAATATACACAGCTCCCTGAACTGAAGGTAAAATGTCACTCTACATTTAACAATTAAACGGCTTGGATGAATACTGCCTCCAAATTCTACTTATTATAGTATAGGAACACTGACCTCACAGTCAACAATTCCTTACTTTTCCTTGATCTGGAAATATGACACTGCACAAAGCTGAAACACAAACTGCAGCTCTCAACTTTCCACCAAAATAAAAGAAAGGGAATGCTACAAAGAGGAAGAAAAGGAGGAAAAAAGCCAATATACCTAAAGCTTAACCACTTGCCTGGAAAACATTCACAGTGCTTGCAGTGAGATAGATTAAAAGCTCCCAGTCTTGGGAGGTTAAAAAAAAAACCAACCACACACACACCCCCTTTCCAAAACCCACCCAAAATCCATGAGCATCCAAATTAAAAATGCTCAAATTAGCAAAGATTTAACGAGTCTGCCACAGTATAATCTTTGAATTTTCTGACCACACTTCCAGATACTACACAGCAGCATACTGAAATATAGTATGCTAATACTATATTAGCATACTAATAGCTAAATAAAGGATGATAGATAAAAATTTGATCAACAGCCAAAATGAAGAAAAAAAAAGTGTCACCACTTCTGCCCTTTCTGGCATTTTTCTCACTCCCGGTTCTAATCCTTCCAGTATCTAAACTCTTCCCTTTCATCTGTATGACAAACCCCAAACCTTCCTTCTGAGAATTTTCCTCTACCCTTGCTAGCACCTGTGCTTTTTTACTCTACAAACCATCAAAAAGTAAGATCCTTCTTAGAAGGACAGCCAGAAGGACTTTTTTTGGCACAGGACTGCTATACTTACTAGAAGAACCAAATCTTGGCTAGGCCATGGGTAACAATACCAAGTAATGCACTGGGGCATCATCAAGATTTGCTCTCCCTATCCAACCCAGTTTCAGCTTTTAAAATTTGCTATCACTGCAAGCAACATCAGGTCTTGCAGGCATAGTGCTTGCAAGCTATGGATGGGGAATCACTGCCATGAAACTGTTGTCTAACAAGTCTCATATATAAAGAACAACAACTAAAAGTTATGAGAAAAGGCCGAATTGTACAGATAAGAGTGAGGGCTATTATACTGTCAAAGAGGTCTGGTTAAGGAAAGAAACAAATGCGAACTGCTTGAATCCAAACTAACTGAAACACAGGGCTTGCCTACAAGGTTCACTTTAAAAAAAAAAAATTATATATCTACATACACACACACACACTTACTTATTGGCCTTTCACCTGTACTGTACAACACATTTGATAAAAAGTACATATGCATAGCCATAATTCTGTTTTTGTATGGAAGGTGGCTAAGACAAAGTAGGCCAAACACCGTAGGGGGACACTTTGAATTCAAACAGACATGTTTTACCAGATTCCTGCCCCCCACCCCCCCAAAAATAAAAAAGCAGCCTACCAAGTTAAAAAAAAAAAGGGGGCCTGCTTCAAGTAAAGAAGAAAGTTTTCCTTTGTTATTCTTTTTCCTCCCCCCTCCCAATATCTTCTATGCCATTCTAGATGCTAAATTTGCAACTTTTCACCAAAATTAACATGTGGAGTAGTATGGTCAGTCAATGAGTGAAAACATACTCTGAAATCATCCAATAAAAAGAAAAAGTCATTCCTTTTGCAAGACAGTTGGCCTTTAAATAGACTGACTGTACTTAAGTCAAGTTGAATTAAGTGATTGCTTTTTTTCATTCCTTAGTACATTCATTCCGTCTATACTCATTTAATCAGCACTGATCTGAAACACCAGTTTTATAGCAGGAGTCTCAGGAAGAGAATAATCATATTGGTAAATACAATACAAGCTAGCTGCACACCCAATTTGTATTTTCCTAGCTCATCACCAAGGCATTACCCAAATACCTTAAACCAAAATGCTGTACTCTGTCCCATTTATGTGACATGCTAGAGAACACAGAATGAGTAGAAAAAGAGAGAAAGGTCCATTTGCTTTGAAGTTGACACGTTAGCCTGGCAAGACTGTAGAAGAGGAGAAAAACACTACATCCATCAAAAAAGCTGATGTTATTTCAAAGTGAAGGCAAAGAAGCCCCTTTTGCTTAAAGATTTAATACCAGGCTCATCAGTTAAGCACCGTATTCCATATCAAGTGCCCTACCCACCTGCCAAACCCATCAGTGAAGAGAACTGGAGCGCCTCTTATATGGCTGCTTTCAGCAGCTGAATGCGCCCAAGAGGAGTAACTTACAGCATGGGCTGGCAGAGATCAAATGCAGGTAGGATTTTTGGAGCAAAATCCCATCCAAAAAAAAAAAAAAGAATTTAGAATAATAAAGGATTCAGAAAAACAAAGCTTTCCAAACAATGGCACATCCATGTTTCTCATGATCATTCTGTCACTTCCCCAGTAAAATGTTATCAGCATCAGAATAAATTCACAGCCCCTGCTTTTTGTCACCAATGACAACAAAGATTATTGCAATACCTGGAGGTAGCGTCTCCATACTTTGTGCTCTGTCCTCCCCATTGTTACTTCGTGGGTCTTTTCTTTTTGGTGAATCAATGTCATTTGGGTCCTCCTGAGGGGCGGGGAAAAAAAAAAAAGTATTTTCTTAAAGCCACTTCTTAAAGCAACATAATTAATTGATATTTCATTTCTGCATTTTCAAAGTAGACAGCAACAGCATGGTCTCTAAATCATTTTTAGGATGTAAAAAATTGGGAAAGGTTGCTTTTGGATATAAGCAAAACGAATGGATT